TTCCACAGCCACTTTGAAAATGTTATGACGCAATTCATCATCAATAAGAGGCTAGGACAGACGCATAAAAAACTGACGTCAATTTGATACATTGAACTTATAGAAGACAAAACAAAGTGGAGGCTATTCAGTATCGATCCTATCAGACTCACGAGTATAAGACTCTTGAATAATGATATTGCCCCGAGGCCTGTTTTCACCGATAGGCAACAGGTAACCTTTGGTGTCTATGAACAGCAGTCAGTACCGTCAGTAGAGTTCAAACTGAATTATAGTTATGTATAGAGCGGTTTTAAATTGAGTGTCGTAAAACCAGAACCACAGTAGGCACTCTATCCAAGCGCAAAGGACACGGACGATACAGTGAACCAATTAAAACTAGAAGTAATTAAATGTAGCTGACGCAAAGCGCGGGGAAATTTTGTTGGAATGAATCGCGAGAGAGGTTATTGGTTTTCTTTTAGTTCTGATTGGGTGAAAAAGTAGCCCGAAGTTTTTAAGCCAATCGTGTAGCGTTGTAATGCTTTTCGTTGTAATGCTTTTCGGTGTAATTACTCTTCGACAATCAAGTGGAAAGCCGCTCTATAATTAGCTGTTCTTCCTTGTAATCATTGAAACAATTTACAATTTTTTTTCTTGTGTTATTCCCTTTCAGTAATGTGTTTTCTCTTTCTCGCTGAAAGTCTCGTACAAAATATAATCGGAAATCCTTGTTCAGATGTAATTCTTTCAAGACTCGGTATAATGTGAGAGATTCATCTTAGCTTTTCAATTGCAGAGAAACAATCCTTCATGTAATTACAATCGAGGAAAGAATTTCAATTTTCGGGTAAAACTTTACTTTAGCATACCAAAGAATTCCAATTGTTCTCGCTCGGAATCCGAAATAGCATGATTGTTCGAAGGTGTGACATTAGCCCTACATCATGAAGGGGCGCCTTGTTTCGTAGCAACGCCGCTGTTGAATACTACTGGCTCAGTCGGCTCTCGCAGACGGGCTGCAGACAGAAAAATATTCTTGTTGACGTGAAAGTTATCATTAGCGCCTTCGTCAGGCGACTTTAAATCTAGCTCGGTTAACTCTCGCAGGTGTGGTTCTGATCGGAAGAGATAGCTGTTGCCTCGATTGTAGTCATCCGGATCTTCGTTTGATGATTTTAGGTCACTGTGACAGTTCTCCTGCGGAATTAAACGACGAAACAAAATTTGAATTCATGTTTAAATTACAAGAAATCTGTTAACGGCATAGAGGTTCGAGACTTCTAGATCTTTTCGCTCTCGAGACATTTTACGTTTTTTTTTTTGTAAAGAAACATTGTTTTCTTAATAATTATAAGTGGTACAGAAAATTGTAATGAGAAAGAAGATTTAGAACGTGAGTATTGGAGTGAAGAGCAAGTAAGAAAGTGTTATGGGCATGGAACCCTAATTCCTCTTTAGCCCACTGGTTTGTAAAGCCCCGGCCACAAAAATTGATTTATATCATCCTCTTTTCAAGTAACCTTCAAATGATATATTATATAAGGAAACTTGATAAATGTAAGCTAAAACTCCGGCTCAGTTATAAATAATAATATGAAAGAAAAATCCAGGCCCACCTTTCTATTTGTGTCATTCGGAGCTGAACGGGGCCTTAAAAGCGTTGATTTTCTTGGAGGTAAGACCAATAGTTCTTCCTCTGATGGACATTCGGGCTCCGGCCGCACTCTCACTTCACGCAACCTGCTTCTCCTGAGAGAAAACGTGATTTAGCGTCTAGATGATAAATTCAGTGCAAGTTGAGAATGCAGAGATAGGATATTTTCAGTAGCTATACCCGACGAAGCCTCAATCCAGTTGTTCATGATCAAAAGGCGATGAACGCCAATCCAGAATTAAAAGTTTAAAAAGAGTTTTACTTCTATCGTTCGTAGGGTTTGTTTTCAAGTTAGTTTCACGACATACGTCGCTAGAAACTTTGAGCTACTTTGATAAAGAGGAAGGAGACTGGATAAAATCATGAGCGATATTTTATGACACTGTATTGTAAGTTAGAGTTTTATTCATCCTGGATAAGCTTTATCCGCATTCCATTACTTTGGTTAGTCATGTTCATTGCTGTGCGCGCATTTGCGCGTAGCGAATAGAAATTAAGAAATCAAACATGCGCAGATTTATATCAGTATTACCTGTAAAATGCAAAACCCACGATAACAGCTGCTGTCATGCACAGGGCTACTAACAAGTAGGGAAGAAAGCCAGAGTAGTCTTGATTCTGAAGGATAGTTGGTATGTCTATGACCGTCACTCGAACACTGAGGGAGAAAGATGAAGATTTCATAGGGGGTAGGGTAGGACGGTCCCAAACGACCTCTCTCACAGTCAGGATCTGTACTCCAAGGCGCTTTTCCAGTGGTAGTTCGTTCCTCAAAACTACTGTTTTGAAAACGATAGATGGCACGTATTCTGGAAAAGAGCGAAGACAGAAAAATCGACTTATGCTTTGTCTCATTTTATGCATCTGAATAGAAGCCAGCTATGCTTACTACCAATTAATGGAAGCGTCAGTACGACCGCTGCATCCACACTTCAGAATGAAATAAAGATCTTTACGTTTTTTGTGCACTATAAACAACTTGGGATTTTGAAACTGCACTACTGGTTGGCGCTTACGAATAATTATAGCCAATAGCCTGGAGTATTTGAAAGGCTATTCGGGACAACTGCGAACAGGTCAACTAGGAATGACTACGTCTAGGGATTAGCCCAGAGTTCGAGCCTCAAATCCCTACCATCAGAAGTTCTTAATTACATGTACGATGAACTGGCTACACAACGTTTGAATCGGAATATAATCATCGCGATACGAATTGGCGGGCAAGATCTAGGAGGCAAGATGTAGGTG